GCTCACTTCCTTAAATTGTCTTTTTTTCCCAGCGTGAAGTGTATCCATTTATAACTGCCTATTGCCTTGCCTGTTCTATTAGCATCCAAAAATGTGGAAGACCTCCTGACCACCATTTCTGCTGTGTCCGTAGGATGTGCAGTAACAATATAGACCTAACAGTTTATGTTATAGAATGGCTTTATTTACTTTGGTGACTGTTTATAGTTTTTAAATAAAAGACTGAACATTTCCTGGTGTCTTTCATTTTATAGTATATTGATGAAGACAGCTGAAGCAATTCAAAGAAATTTAAATAGCAGATTGTACACTGGAATGGTAGAGCAGAATTTGTTAATATAAATATTTTTCACTGGCTATAAAAGAGAATGCTAAACCACTGTATCAATAAATCAAATGGAGTGCACTTTTTTCCTATTAAAATTACTTTTCCTGAAAAGGGGACCTTGTCAGGCTTAATAGTGTGCTGTGGTATGTTTATTACAGAGATTTCCAATGACAGCTATAAGATTTGATGGAAAAAATAGTTTATTACATTATTAGATTAAAACCCTTGATTTCTAAAAAATGATTGGGTTGTCTAACAAGAGCTTTTTGCATTAATTACAGTAAATAACCTAATTCCAGTCATGCTAAAATAGATGAGACTTAATTAGTGGAGAAGATGGTAATTATTCAACAGAATATAATCTTTGTCTTCCTGAAATTGCAGCCTATTATTCAATACTTGTATATAGTATGTTTGCTGTGTTTTGGAGATGATAAAGAAATGGTCCCTTCCCTAGGTGTTATCACTCAAGGGATCTTATATTGGAAACATACGAGGCAATGTTGATACTTGGCAGCAGCAACATCAATAGGAGTTTTTTCCCGTCAACTCCAAGAGCCAGGATTTCACTTTCTGTGACTTTCAAGTGACTTCTCCCATTAGTACCAGGCCTGACAGGTTAACTGTAGTAAGTCTTGTGATCTTTTATTGTTAGATAAAAGATCACAAGATGCAAGGAGAGATTACATCAAACAAAGTGGAAAGTAGTTTACACAAACTCAGGGTATATGATTACTAGTTTTTACAAGATAGAAATATGTTAGTCCTTTAAACTAAATCGATTTAATTAGGTTGGACAGAGTAATGTAGGTCAGTGCTGGGTTATGGAAGGCAATGGGTTTTGAGGAAGAGCAGCATACATTATGTAACTTTTTTTCTGCCCTTCCTGCCTCAGAGTGTTCCTGAAGTTACTGTGACAGTAGCTGAAAATGTATCATTTAGAAATCCTTAGTTTATTTTGAGCGTGCTCAGGTTAGACAATGTGATGGTAAATCAGCTAACCTTGCCTACATTGCTCCACAGCAAATGTATCTGGTGAAGGATTTAGGGATATGAAGTTCACTAGTGTAAACAAGACCACTAACTTCAGTGTAAGCAAGGCCAGGTCTTATGATATTTACATTTTTTTGGTGTAAACAATGAAAATAGATAACAGGGTTAAGGCCACAAGTACCATTTACACTAAAGCTTCAGTGCTGCTCCTATTAGTGGAGCCCACCTGTGGCTTAGGGTCTATAGTTAACTGTTCTAGGCCCAGCCTTAGGTAGTTTTACCTATTAAATGTGAAGTTAATAAACAGCAACCTGGGGAACCGTGTGGGTCTGCAACATACAAGTTAAGTGATGCATTTATGAATTGTTCAACTAACAAAAACTAATTTTAAAAAATCAGTGGGATTAATTTGAGAGGAAAAAGTAAAATAATTATATTTAGCTTTACCTGATTGCTATAGAATAGAAATTACAGTAGAATATTTTGTTACCATCTCTATGTAAATGCAAGGTGGAATTTCTTCTGGTGGTCCAAGGAGATGTAGCATGGAAAAATGAAGTGAAACAAGCAATGGAAAAATTTAGACTGTTGGACTGTAGAAAAATCTTCCTCTGGAAGTGCTGGAAATTCCATTGTTTGTCATTGTGAATACTACAGGAAGCATCCTGTATTTTGAGGGCTATCCATACAGTTAACTAAATCTGCCTTTTTCTGTTTGTCACTCTCTTAGTTTCTATTAAATGCCTTTTCCAGTGTCTGGAAAAATTTTCATTACAGTCAACTACTTCACATTCTTCCCATTTTCAAAAAGGTAAAAAAAAAAATGTTTGACTTTGGCCTTTGTTTGGCTGTACTGCTTGTCAAATATCAAGGGATTTTTTTTTTAATCTGTGCTGTACAGTTGTGATGTTTATTCTGTACTGTTATGCTAGGATTTTGTAGTACATTTGCTTAATCATTAAATACGTTGTATAACTATGTGTTCAAGAGAACAATCAATATCAAATGTACATGCTGAAAAACAGTTGCTGGATTCCATGCAGCTACCTTAGAAATGTAAATGTGTATACTGCTATACAGTTAAATCAAGTCTTTTATCTTCTCTATTTTGGTATTCCTTATTATAATGGTTGCCTGTTTGTCTTGGAATATAAACATAGCACTTTGGGGTAGCCTGGTGGTGTGAATAAGTCTGTCAGCTCCAAGATCTCAGATGTAAACCCAGCGTCACAAAGTCAAACTTGATGGATAACCTATTAATTTCTATATTTTATACATTAATAAAATATTGCATATCAAGCATTTATCTGTTGAAAAATCATATACGTATTTTTTGGTTGGAGTTACTTAAAGTTTGAGTCAATATTCATTAAAGACAATGGAAAGACTGTTGTTGATTACAAAAGATTTTGGATTGGGCTCTTAATACTTAAGAATTTGTCTTTCTGCAAAATTGTCATTTGTAGTTTTGATTACACTTCACCTCAGTTTTACATTAGCACTTGGAAAAAAGTGAAACTAGTTCATTCCGTTCAAAATGCTGAGGAACTAAGGTTGATATAGCTGGATTATCAGTATTACATTTCAGGAGCATAGCAAATGTAAATGAGTATCATCAGTTTGTCATTGCTTTTTATTCTGGCAAAGGAGCAATATTTGTTTTAAAATGGCCTGACTTCAAAGTGACATAGGTTCAGCTTAATATTGAGATGTCTATGAATGATCATATTACAGCTTATTTTTTTAAAAGATACTGGTTCATAGAATAACCACCTCTGTGTCTTAACTCCAAGCAACCCCACTTCCTGCCAAGACAAAGGGACCAAGCACCAAGAATCCTGTCAGCTGACATCTTGAAAGCAGGAGAATTACAGGTCAGTTATTTTCCCTTCTCTGCACGCTTGTAAATCTGTATTCTTGGCTATTGGCCCTGATGCGAAGAAATCTGAAGGCTGAGTAGCAAAAGTAAAGATACTGGCACCAGAGAAACAACCATCCACCTCAGAGGTCTGTCCCCTATTCCCATGTGAAAAGAGGGCTGGCTATGCAGCTTTGGCTTTAGTTCAGAGGTAATTTATAAGCATGATTGTAATATGGTGTGCTGTTAAGTGTTTTCCTCTTGAGAGATCTCCCTTTGTATGTAATGAAATCAGGTGCTATTGTTGTCATTTGTCTTATGTTTATGGGAGAAGCTCGTTGGGGCAGAGACTCTGTTTGACTTGTGCTTGCATGGCAATAACCATGGTTAAATCATTCCCAGGAGAGTTTCTCCTGGGAGAGTGAATGTCTGTACCTGCCCTGGCTTCTCCCAAAGGAGAACATAGTCCTCCAACGTTCCCCACGGGGAGACTGTGTGTCACTCTCTGGATTCCACTGCTCCAGCTGGGAGCACAGCACCCCCTTCACAATCTGCACACTGTGCTGCAGGGAAACACAGGCTGATCCTAAGCAGTCTGGGTCAGCCAATCAGAGCTACCCTTTGCACTTCTGCCATTTGTCACCAAGCAGGCTAAGCCCCACCCCGGGTACAGTGTCAGCACTGGAAGCATCACTCTTCTGGGCCTCCACATTCAAATGCCTGTACACACAGCTTTGGATAAATTTCTGTACCAGGAGAACAATCCTGAGAAAATTCTTCCAAGTTATTTGAATGTACGCAGCCATTGCCTGACTGACAAGGTAGGGAGGAGCAGTTGTATTGGAGGGAAGAGCACATATCCCATTTTCTGCTCATACTCCTTTTGCTCAGTTATCCCTTTACTAGCCTTTTTCCTTGGTCTTAGTTTCCTCCAGGGGACACACCAAATAGTGGGACTCGGTAGCATTACAAATCCCTGCAGAATGGAGCAATGGGACTGGATGGTGCTAGTGCTCTTGATCTCCCTTTCATAAGAAACAACCTCTTAAGAAAGGAGAGAGAGGTGCAGTCAGAGAATCCACATGATTTAATTGCGCAGTTGGATTTTGCTATAGGCAGGGGGCAGTGGAATGGGAAATAAGCTGATTTATACATGCACATACTTAGGCTTCCTGTATATATTGTTGGTATAAGCCACTGCCCAGAAGCTCTCTAGGAACAGGTATAGCCACTGGGCACTGGTGAGCCACTGATGTTTCCATAGTTGTCTCACTAACAGCAATAAGGACAGGGTATGCCAAACAGTGTTGTATGAGGTTGTTGATTTCAGTTGAACTGCAAGGAGGCACATAGAACCGTAGAAATTTAGGGCTGGAAAGGATCTCAGGAGGTCATGTAAACCAACCCCCCTGCTCAAAGCAGGACCATGCCCAACTAGATCATCCCAGCCAAGGCTTTCTTTACCCAGGTCCTAAAAACCCCTAAGGATGGAGATTCCACAACCTCTCTGGGTAACCCATCCCAGTGCTTTATTACCCACCTAGTGAAAAAGTTCTTCCTAATATCTAAGCTAAACTTCCCTTGCTGCAACTTGAAACCATTGCTCCTTGTTCTGTCATCTGCCACCACTGAGAACAGTCTTAACTTCATCCTCTCTGGAACTGCCCTTCAGTAGTTGAAGGCTGCTGTTAAATCCCTGCTCAGTCTTCTCTTCTCCAGACTAAATAAGCCCACTTCCCTCAGCCTCTGCTCAGAAATCATGTTTCCCAGGTCCCTAACCATTTATGTTGCCCCACACTGGACTCTCCAATTTGTCTACATCCTTTCTGTAATGAGGGGCCCAAAACTCCACCCTCACTGGTACTGAATAGAGGGAAACGATCACTTCCTTCAATCTGCTGGCAATGCTGCTACTAATGCAGCTCAGTATGCCATTAGCCTTCTTTGCAAGAAGGGCACGCTGGCTCATATTCAACTTACTGTCCACTGTAACCCCCAGGTCCTTTTCTGCAGAGCTGCTGGTTAGACAGTTGGCCCCCAGCCTGTAGTGGTGCATGGGTTTGTTCCATCCCAAATTCAGGACATTGCATTTGGCCCTACTGACTCATGAGATTTCTTTTGGTCCAATCCTCCAATTTGGTGAGGCCTCCTAGCCCTACCCTCCAGTGTATCTACTGCTCCCCTCAGCTCGGTGCCATCTGCAAACTTGCTAAGGGTGCACTCTACCATCTTCCAGGTCACTGATGAAGATACTGAACAAAACCAGCTGTAGGACCAGCCCCTGGGGCACTCCACTTGATATCGGCTGCCAACTAGACATCAAGCAATTGACTACTACCCTCTGAGCCCAACAATCGAGCCAGTTTTAAATCCACTTTACAGTCCAGTCATCCAACCCATACTTCCTTAGTTAGCTTGCAAGAACTTTGTGGGAAGCCATATTAAAATCCTTGCTAAAGTCAAGGTATACCACATTCACTAGTCTCCCTACGCCCACAGAACCAGGCACCTAGTCAGAACGCAATTAGTTTGGAGAGGCATGACTTACCCTTGGTGAATCCATGCTGACTGTTCCTAATCACCTTCTATAAGTGTTTAGAAATGGATTCCTTGAGGACCTGTTCCATGATTTTTCCAGGGACTGAGGTGAAGCTGACCCATCTGTAGTTCTGTGGATTCTTCTTCCCTTTCTTAAAGATGGGCACTATATTTGCCTTTTCCCAATTGTCCAGGACCTCTCCCAATTGCCATCAGTTTTCAATGATGCTGGCCAGCAGCTCTGTAATCACATTGGCGAACTCCCTCAGCACCCTCAGGTGCATTCTGTCCAGCTCCTGGACTTGTACATGTCCAGCTTTTCTTAATAGTTCCTTACCTGTTCTTCTGCCACCGTTGGTTGCTCACCTCCTCCCCAAACTGTGCTGCCAGCTGCAATATGGGAGCTGACCCTGCCTGTGAAGTCTGAGATGAAAAAGTCAGAGTACTTTACTCTTTTCTGCATCATCTGTCACTAAGTTGCCTCCCCCATTTAGTAAAGGACCCACACTTCCCCTGATCTTGTTGCTGACATAGTTGAGAACATTTTAAGAAGCTTAGGTGTGAAAATGCAGTTGTGCATCAGGAGTCTGCCATCTGCTAGTGGTAGCCGAGTCATCACATCACAGACTTGCAATCTCTTTAATGTGGTTCCCCTCTGCTAAGCCACAAAACCTCCAGGAGGCAGCAAATCTATTTCTAGTTACATTATTATTCTGTCCTTTCCCTCTCCATTGTACCTGACTCAGCCACATAGTCCATGCAACGAGTGTGGCTTATTGCTTCAATAAGGGGTGTCAAACATACAGCCTGCAGAACTGCTCTTCCTGGTCTACCAGGCTACTATTGAAGGTTGTGGCCTACTGCAGAATTTGGGGTCCCTGGGGTAGACATGATGGACATTGTTCTTACTGATGGAAAGATGCAGAGGGCTTATACAGCCCTGGTTGCCCTGCTTTTCTTCACTACCACTGTGTGCTCCAGGCTGAGCCAGGGCTGGAGCTGCTAACGTGCACCCTCCGCTGGAGTCAGAGATGCATCCATATGATCTGGCCAGGGTCACAAGGTGCGTTTGAGACCCCTGTTCTAATATCAAGCCTGAAATTAAAAACAATTCAAAGGCAATCTGACTGTCACAAGGAGATCCAAGCACATGATAGAGCAAACGTCTCTTTTTAGCCTGCCCAAACATACATGCCAAACCCAGAAATACTCTGGCAAAGATGATCCAGGGTGTCCCTGTGATGCTCTGCTCACCTCAGTCTCTGGTGGGCTTGAGACCACATGCTGGGGAACAGCCGCTGTTGCACTTTCCAGCATCCTTCCAAGTTTGGAGATTGAGAGTGGCCAGGACAATAGAGTGTGCTCAAGAGTAACCCAGCTAGGATGCAGTGTCCACAATAAGCAGCACTTCATCACCCTTCCTCTTGCCTCCACCTGCCTGGGAAAGGCTTCAATGCTGAGGAGACATCAACGCTCTTTGAACAGGTGCCATGTACTACAGAGGCCCTATAGCTGAGTAACAGCATGTCAGGAAGTGACCAGTGTGTCCCTGTGCACTTGGGCACTAAGAGGATGATGCTGTGAGGGGCTCACCGTCACTGACTTGCACAGCATGCAAGCTCCTACTTGATATATGCATACAAGGCTTCCTAAATCTGCCATCCAGGCCTAACTAAACACAGGTGAGATTCATCATTCAGCACCCCTATGACTGCAGCCACATCAATACATTGATGGCATAACACAAATTTATTGGATGGAGGAGGAACATTGAACAGTTGACAGTCACCAAATTGCTAGGGCATTTACCTGGAAACTCTCTCACCTTCCTTCACTGTAAGTTTGGCAAGAGGAAACAAGGACAAGGGAATCTTTTGGGACTAAGCAGTGGAGAACAAGCCAGTTTACAGGGCACTTTGCTAGGGAAGGTCTGCTTGGGAAGAGGGGCAGGAAGAAAGAGGCAGTGGATTGAGACGTTGGAGGACATTGTAATACCAGAGCCACTGCCCATGCCAACTCTTCCTCTTCTTGTACCTGTGAGGTGTCTCTCCAGTGGCTTGCAGTTTCCTTCCAGTAACCGCCAGGTGGGGGCAATGTGAATGATGCCTCCTGATAGTTGCCAGGGAACAGGTAAGAGAGTTACAGAAGGAAGTGACAAGGCTCCAAAGCATCCCCTACCATAAGAATGTCACCAATTCAATGCTGGAGAAGACCACTGCCACCAAGGCACTGCCACCAAGAGGAAGTGATGGGTAGTGGTGGCTGGAGACTCCCTTCTGTGGGGGATGGAGGCATCTATCTGCCGATCTAACCTGTTATCACAGGAGGTCTGCTGCTTGCCCAGAGCTCAGATCAGGGATGTCATGGAGGGATTACCAAGACTTATCCAGCTCTCTGACTACTACTCCAGGCTGCTCATCTGTGTAGGCACCAATGATACGACCAAGGGAGACCCTGAGCAGATTAAAAGTGACTATA